CTATTTTATTATCACAAAAAGGAACACTGATACTTATGCTCACTCAGCCAAAAGTACTCGTCATACACATGTTCTTACATCTATATCTACCATAAGATCACCATAATGGATAGTAGATTCTGATGCATCTCGACATGTGACAAGTAATATTAGTGAATTCGATTCTTATACTCATCTAACAGTTCCAGAGAACATTCAAACTGCAAATGGTACAGCACAACCTATACTTGATAAGAGTACAAAAAGATGTATCAATTCTATGACTTTCTTCAATGTTTTGTATATTCCTTCCTTTCCAGTGAACATTTTATTCATTAGTGTCATTTTTCTCCAACCAAAAGTGTGTTGTTGCCTTTGACATTCCTAAAGTGATCTTTCAAGAGAAGGGGATTGGCCGGAGACTTGGACTGGCACATGACATAGTATACTTTGGTATTTGGATAGAGAAGAGACAAACTCGGCACTGACTTCTATGATAGAACGTGTTGGAGTAGGATGATCTGGGAGAAGTGTGGAGGATGTGTTGTTACATAATAAGAGCATGATATTTTGTTTAATCTTTTGAGTCGTTTGTATCCATCTTTGTACAAGAAGACAAACAAAAAAAAACTTATGTAATGCATGTGAGTTGAGTAAACATGCCAGGAACTCTTATATTAGCTTTGGTAATAGAAGTTCTTGTGTATTTTATTTGGTGCTTTCAGATGTATGGGAACTTTGTTCTACAACATTGATGAATGACTATAGATATTTTGTGACTTCCATTGATTATTTTTCTCGTGTTACTTGGTTATATCTGATGAATAACAAAAGTGATGCACTTGCTTACTTTAAAGATTTTCACAGGGTCATTCAGACTCAATACGGTACAGTAGTAAATATATTGAGATCTGATAATGGTACAGAGTATGTCAACAAGGCATTCGATAAATGTCCCAAAACACCTGTAGGGGCAAGTAGTTTTGATAGTCACTCAATTGATCAGCAAAATGTCTTCAAGAGTGTTGGGGTGGCAATCTCCTTGATAGTTGTTGAAAGAAGATAATGACGGGATTCTCTCATTGAAGGTATTTTATCATGTATATTTTGTGAAGGACAACAGACGATCAATAGGGAAGCTGGATCTTAAAGCTGTAAAATTTGTTTTTGTGAGTTATTTTGCTACTCGGAAGGGTTATGTTTATTGAAGCTCGATGGAGAAGAGATTATTTGTGCGTATGGATGTAACTTCTTAAGAATTCAAACCATACTACTTCTTGGAGGTGACCTCACCATTTGGTGACTCGTCGGATAATGGAGGTATGAGGCAAAAGGAGGAGAGTATTGATGGTGAGAGATTGGAACATGTGGGAAAAAGGTATTGTCTCATTATGTGGGAAGGATCGAATGAGGAAGAGACAGTCCTTGAGGAAAATGAGCTCAAAGGTGTTGGTGTTCAAGCCCAAGGGGAGCAAAGGGGGTATATAAGGAAGAGGAGGCAAAATGAGAGAACAGTGTCTGTCATGCCACTCATGTCAACAAGTCACGAGTCCTGGTCTACCACGACTCCTGAGGCACCTACACCATCTACCTCGGAATCAGATTACATAAGTGATATGATTCTTCTTCCTTCTTCTCACACTCTCATGACTTTAAGGAGGACCTTTCGCAACAATGCAGGTTATTATCCTGATTGTTTTGGTTTCTCTCATGACATTGCTAAGTTTGTCTTATACTCTAATATATCACCTGCATACAAAGCATTCATTGCATCTTTAGAAACTGTCTTTATATCCAAGTGTTGGCAGGTAACTAAGGAGGATCCAAAGCGGAAGGATGTCATGAAGAAGGAACTTGGTGCTCTCAATAAGAACAAGATGTGGGAGATTGCATTGTTGCCAACAAGAACAAAGGCAGTCGAGTGCAAATGGGTCTTCACAGTGAAACAAACCCCAAAAGAAAAGATTGATTTCTAAAAAGCACAGTTGGTGGCAAAAGGGTATAGTCAAATGTATGGTATTGATTATGATGAAACATTTGCGCCAGTGGCAAAGATGAGCACAGTCGGGACACTCGTCTCTCTGGCTGTGAATAGTGGATGGATCTTACATCAACTAGATGTGAAAAATGTATTTCTTAATGAGAATTTGCTAAAGGAGGTGTACATAAATATACCCCCAGGCTTTGACACAAACCAAATAGTGGGCAAGGTATGTAGATTGAGGAAGTCACTTTACGATTTGAAATAGTCTCCTCGAGCTTGGTTTGAGAAATTCAGGAAAGCAATGGTAGGCATGGATTATCAACAGATCAATGCAGACCACACAATGTTCTTTCGACGGCATGGTATTCATATTACTATTCTTGTTGTGTATATGAATGATATGATTATCACTGGTGATAATGAGGGAGAAATTGCTCCGCTGAAAGTAAGCATAGGCAAAGAGTTTGAGATGAAGAATCTAGGATAACTTCGATACTTTCTTAGGATTTAGGTGGCTCGAGGAGCAAGGAGATTGTTTTAACTCGAAGGAAGTATGTGTTAGACTTGCTCACAGAGACAGGTATTTTGAGATGCAAGCCTACATTTACACCAATTGATTAAAATGAGAAGTTTAGCACGGAGACAGGACAGCTAATTGATCAAGAGAGGTACCATAGGTTGGTAGGTTGGCTCATCAATCTGAATCACACTCGTCTTGACATATCATTTGCAGTAAGTGTAGCGAGTCGCTATATGTCTAATCCAAGGAAGGGTCACATGAATACAGTGTATCAGATTTTAAGGTACCTGAAGAGTGCACCAGGAAAGGAGTTGCTCTTCAGAAAAAATGGGCATTCAGGTATTGAGGGCTACTGTGACTCTGATTGAGCTAGTTGTGCTGATGACAGAAGGCTCACATCAGAATACTATATGTTTGTATGGGGAAATTTGGTCTCTTGAAGAGCAAGAAGCAGTCGGTAATTGTGAGGTCGACGGCAGAGGCAGAATACAGGGCCACTACCTTGGGAGTTGTAGAGATGTTATGGCTGAGAACTCTATTGGTAGAGCTCAAGGTGGACCAAGGAGCTCAAATGAAGTTGTGGTACGACAACAAGTCAGCAATCAGCATTGCGAACAACCCGGTGCACCACAACAAAACCAAGCATGTGGAGATTGATAAGTTCTTCAACAAGGAGAGGCTAAATAATGGACTACTGGAGATAAGTCAAGTAGCTACTAGAGAGCAAGTAGTTGACTGTCTCGCAAATGAAAAATATTTGTGTACATAAGACATATGCAGCGATGCGTACGTCCAGGGGTCATTCAGGGGTTACAGGAGGGTTATATCGGAGTTATACCCCTCTGTAACCCCCTTGTAACTTCTTTGTAAACTACTTGTAACCTACAAATGAGTTCCGCGCTTCTGTAGTTTCATGTGTACAAATAAGTTACACGGAGGTTATAAGGGAATTACACGGTGGTTACAAGGGGGTATAACCCGGATATAACCCCCCTGTACCCCCTGACGTACGCAGCGCTGCGTACATCTTATGTAGGCAAATATTTTCCCTCGCAAATGGACTGCTCATTAGATCTATCCAAGTTATGTGACAAGATAGGATTAGTGGAAATTTTTTGCCCATGTTGAGGTGGAGTGTTGAAAGTTATATATAGTTTGGAGTACTATTTGTAAATACGAAATATAGAAGAACTCAAGGGTGTTATTTGTAAAGAAAGTTATAAGGCTATATAAGCCCAATTCTTCCATGAATAGATTAAGTTTTTTAGCAAAATCATTTCAGTTGGCGAGAGCTCGAAGATGGAAAGGTTGGGAGGTTGGCAGCAGCAAGGTCAATGGTGGCTACTGGAGAGAAGGCAAAATTGAAGGTCGTAATATCACAAGTGGCAAGGTTGGAAGTGGCCGAATGGGGAAAAAATATTACATCAGTACTACGCACGTAGAATTAACGTGCAACCAATGAAAGCACGCCACGATATCCCGCGCGACAGGGAAAAAAAAACGGCGCAGTAACACGGAAAATATTTCCCCTTGTGTTATTCATGTGTTATTGCGTGTTATTCATGTGTTATTGTGTGTTATTCATGTGTTATTGATGTGTTATTGTGTTATTATAACACCAAGAATATTCTCAGGACAGAGTAACATATGAATAACACACAATAACACATGAATAACACGGGGAATATTCCCGACAAAGAAAAAAACGGCGCAGTAACACGGGGGAATATTCTCCCCCGTGTTATTTATGTGTTATTGTGTGTTATTCATGTGTTATTGATATGTTATTGTGTTATTATAACACCAGGAATATTCTCAGGACATAATAACACATGAATAATACACAATAACACATGAATAACATGGGGGAAATATTCTCCGTGTTACTGTGCCGTTTTTTTCTCTCTGTCGCGCGGGGTGTCGTGGAGTGATTTCATTGGCTACGTACGATACTCTATGTGCGTAGTACTGATGTAAGATTTTTTTCCGAATGGGTGGCAGTGACTTTGGTCGTGGCGTAAAGGTGACGGGGCCTTTGCGACAAGATTGTTAGGATAGGTGTTATTTCTTATTTCTTTTTAATTTTTTGAGTGCTGAATATTTAAATACTGCTTAGCTGCGAAGGCCAGCTAGGTGAGATATTTGTCCCCATACGTGTGATTGGCGCTCAAGCGTACTAATTTATCTAACTTGGCTGCGATTAATGCTCAAGATACCAAACACTGAAGTTTAGATGTACGTTTCCCATTTTTTAATATAACATTATGCTTTCCTTTCGGCCAAAATCTCTTCTTTTCCCCCTCTGAGTTCCAAAAGAGTGTGACGCTAAAAACCGCAGAACCAAAACGGAATCAAAGCAGTTCAGAGCCAATCGTCCGACAATACTAACAAGGCAAAAACAAAACAAAAGGAAAACTCAAATGCCCAAAACTCAGAAGATCAACAGAAAACACAAAAACCTAATTCCTATTAATAAGCACTAAAAAACAACAAGAACACTAAAGATAAAGTCAATACCGTCTCCGAAATCTTCGATAAACTCCACTGTTTCGTCCTCGTATTCTTTGTCAACTTCTTCTACATCTTCCTCAGTAACTTCCTCTTTTTCTTCCTCCTTTAATATGAGTTCGTTTGGGGAACATTTGGCAGAAAACACCCTCTTCTTACCATTGCAAATGAGAGAATGCCGTCGAGAATTGGGGCAGTAGCAAGACGGAATCCGTAAAACGGAAGGATCAAAAGAACGAAAGCGATAATAGGGTGAAGAAGAGGAGCTGAAACAGCAAGCGAAATTGGCTAGAGTTGCTCCCGCTGCTAAATCCATCGATAGGAAGAAGAAATTATAAGGAGAGCACATTTATGAGAAGTACGGCTGTTGAGCTCCAAAAAAAAATGTTGGGATAATTAGATAGAGACCACAGCAAATATTATTAGTTATAAAACAAGCAATTAGTTGATTTTTTAATTTGATAAAATGAAAAATATGTATGCCCTTTAGGGCTGTCAAAACGGCTCGTTGTTCACGAACGGCTCGTTGTTCGCGAACGGCTCGTGTTCAACTCGCTAAAAAGCTCGTGTTTGACTCGTTTGTTAAGTTAACGAGTAGAACACGAACAATACAAACAAATATTTGTTTGTTCGTGTTCGCTTCGTGTTCGCTTGTTCGTGTTCGCCTCGTTTTGGCTCGAAATACTACTAATCAATTATATATATATCTTTGATGAGTAGTATTTTTTAAAAATTTAATTGACTACTAGGCTATAAAGATTTATAATCAAAGATTTATAATCAACTAAAAGTTTATAATCAACTAAAAGTATTAATAAAGAAAATACAATAAAAATTATTAAATTCCATTCAAATGTTATTTTAAATCTTGCTCCAATCGTTAACATCTTATAGCTTATGGTTGGCTAATTAGGGTTGTCAAAATGACTTTTTGTTCGTGAACGGCTCGTGTTCGCCTCAGAACACCAAGTAATATTTTTAAACTATCAAACTGATGTAATTACGCGTGCCACGATCAAGTTATTGAGAATTTGATAAAAAAATGAAAAATTTGGTTGTGGTTTTATGATCAATTTTGATATTTGAGCGAGAATTTGAAAAATTGATGAAAGAGAGTGCTTGATCTATAAATAGCAATATTTTGGGTAACCTATATTTAATCACCTCAAAAAATTTTGGGGGATGAGCTTTCTAAGGATTCTTCAACTTTGTGTTATAATAAAAAACGAATGAGTTCCTAATTAATTCATAATTCACTTAAATTTGAGTAAAATATATATTTATATTAGTGTATTGTATAAACGAGTATGTAATGAAAGGATTATTTGTTGTGATATATGCAATGAAATAAATGTATTTGTAGCTATAATAACTTCCAAGTTAAAAGCGAGGTACAAAGATCACTTACGTTACAAGCTCTCCTTAGACAACTTAGTTATTTTTGACAAAATTCTTTATAGCTTCAAATACACTGAATATATATATATATATATAATTTCTTTTATCATAATAGAAAAAAAATGTTTATATCTAATTAATTCATATTTCAATCAAGTTAGAGTGTAATACATACACTTATGTTAGTGTGTTGTATAAACTTGAATGTAATATAAAACACAAACTTGTATGTATTGGAAAATGTTAATTGTCGTAATGTATGCAATGAAAAAAATACATTCGTAGCTATAAGAACTTTCAACTGATGAGGGGGTTACAAAGATCACTTATGTTCCAAGCTCTCCTAGAAATTTATGCATTTTTTATAAAGTTCTTTGTAGCTTCAAATGCAATATATTTTATTCACATATATCCCTAAAGATTATTCTACTCAGTATTAACATAATAAAAAGGGGAGCGAGACAGGAATAAGTTTTATTAATTTTTCTTTGAATTAAAACAAATTAGAGATAAATTTAAATAATACTCGTATTTTGCCAACAAAGAAGTACGAGACACGATCCTAACAACATAAAAAATATAATAATATGCAAAATATCGAGCAACTTTTTACGAAAATATGATAGTTAAATAAAAAATTATATAAGCTCTGTATAGGTCATTGCTTAACAAGACAGTCGAGGTACCATTTCAACCTTCTTCGTATAAGTAGCCTTGCGCCGTCGGGTTTTCAGACTCTCTACAGACCAATACAATGTTTTAATTATCGTAACTATTTTTCTTAAAAGATTAAAAATTATATACGATCTGTACAAAGTTTTGTTACAGTGGACAATCAATGTACTATTTTAATCTCATTCAGACCAGCAGTCCTACGTCATCGGGTTTTTAGACTGTATCCATACCAGTACATTCTTTAAAATATAAAATCTATTTATTTACTTGCAATTATATTTAAATAATAATTACAAATAATATAAAATAATTACACACAACATTTCAGTATATTGTAAGTAATTTAGAGAAATCAAGTGCAATATTTCGATTACTCAAATAATTTAAGAAAAAATATGGGCAGCATTTGCATAGGGGAAATAATTAAATATTTTAAGAATGTAGCGCGTAGTATTTTAACATTTGGCTGATGATTTATGAAACTTACGAACGTTATTTTAGCATAATGCAAAGAATTAATGTCTAAGAAATAATATAATTACACATAAAATTATATTAGAATAATTTTTTATTAAAAAAAAATTATAACTAAATAAAAAAGGAAGAGAAGAAGATCATATATTTTAGAAGAATGATGAGGGGCGAATTGAAGGAGTGATATTTGCGTACGCGAGACGTACGCAGAGCTACGTAAGTTTGGTAGGTTACAGAGAGGGTATTGGGGTTTATATCTGTGTTATACCCCATGAAACTTCCATGAAAACCTACTTGTAACCTACCTATAACTAGTGAGTTTTGCGCTTCTGTTTTATAATGGATATATATATATATATATATTATGCTCTCTTCCCCTAATTTCACAAAGTATTATGCTTCTTACTATAATTTTGCCTCGAAGAAAATGAGCGAGGGACACCGCAGAAGAAGAAAATATTAGGTCAAGACTTCGGATCCTCCAAAGTCTAATAAAGATGCACCACGTGTAAAGTGCACCTATCACAATACACTGTGATTGGTCCACTTTACACGTGTCGCTCCCCTATGCATCCAGAGTCCTGACCAAATATTTTCTTTCGCATAAGAGAATTGTCAAGCTAGATTAACTTAACAGTTCGAATCCCAACAAAAAATCACTAAAAAAAAGGAAAATCGCATATATGCTACTTTAAAAACATTATTTGACTTATAAAATTAAAGTAATAATATTTTTAATATGATATGAAATATTTAGATGGTATGCATGTAAAAAATAAAATTTAGACATGTAAATACATAGAAATTTGTTGGTATGCGTGTAATTGCCCTAAGAAAATAAAAAAAATTTGACCCTTTATATCATATGATATTTCCATTCGGGTAAGTATGCTGCTGAGAAAACAAATACTCCAAAATATTTTTTTGGCCCAAAACTCCCTTGAGAAATAAATTCATTTAGAGGCGGTTATTTGTTTGGGGCAGCTTATTTGGTGCGGTGGCGTTTTGAAAATACATCTGGTTTGTTTGGGTAAACTGTGTTTTGGCAGCTTATGGATTTTCAAAACGCTGAAAACATTGTTTTCACAGCGCACCTGTCTAGATGCGATGGATGACATCTTTCTAGCTGCGGTCTGACTTTTCCGAAAAAATAAAAATTTGCAGTAGCCACTGCATCTAGCTTATCGGCAGATTATTTTTAATCAGCTTATCAGTAGATTATTCAATAATCTGCAGCTGCCCATATTAATACCACCCAATTCTTTTGTTTTTACATATAAATTTCACTTTTTATAGTTATACCACTAAAATTTTGCACACAACGCCAAAAATGCCACTATCCTACTTTTAAAACGTGAATTACATTTTTTGATGCAATGATAAAATGATGTATATGTAAAAAACGAAATTTAGGTGTTAGATATGTAAAGACATAAAAAATGAGTGTGTTTCCTTCCTGTATTAGATAGCTCCATGGAGCAGCAAATCTTTAGATATTGAGGTAGGCATGTTTTTTAATTTGTTTGAAGTTGTTTAATCTAATTCTACATAATTTGAATCAAAGTTGTTACAGGTGAACCAGTGTGGATGGCATGGGCGTGACGGAGGTGCAATTTTGGAGAAAAATCAAGCAGCGTTGCGTACGTCAGAGAGGTTATTCAGAAGGTATTGGGGGGTTATATCTACGTTATACCCCCTGTAATCTCTCTGTAACCTACTTGTACCTTCTCGTAAGTTTCACGCTTCTGTTTTCATATATTTGTAGGTTAAATGAAAGTTACAGGGGGTATAACGTGAATATAACCCCTCAATACCCTCTAAATAACCTCCTTGATGTACGCAGCACTGTGTACATTTACGTTCACAAATTTTTCTCGCAATTTTGGGGTTAAATTATAAGAAGGGGCTTATTTTTTAGTTAATTTAGTATTGGGAGCTATTAAGAAAATGTATTTTGGTGCAAAAACATTCTTCATGAGGGCCTTTTTATTAAAAAAATTAGTTTTAAAGCAAATTCCCTTAGGAAGGGTGTTTTCTAAGAGTTTTTTTTTTATTTCATAATTTAAAATTAATAAAAATTTATAATTTAATTATGCAGGCACATAGGAAATCTAAATTATTTATAGAGCTTTAATTAGACTTGATTTGATCATATTATAAGTTGTTTGAGTTGAGTTTTAACACATAATATGTTTGATAAATTACAGTTATTTTGTACTTGATTACTTATTAATTAAATGAGTACTTAAACGAGTTAATTAAAAGGTTAAAAAATTTTAAGGAGTGGCAAAATATTTATATAAAATTATAAAAAATGATTTTTAACGGCTAAAGAAGTAAGCATTCAAATATATGTTTAAGTTGCATGTAATTATTTTACACTAATTGAATAATAATATTATATGTAATTTAGAAGCACCTTTTTGTTAAATTTAATAATATAAATAGATTATTTTAAAATATTGATAATATTAAAACATATAATTATTAAATATATCATTTGATAAGTTGTAATTAATCAAATTTTACTCATATTAGCTATCATCTAGCTTAATATTGAATACTCAATAAATTATTTGAACAACAACAAGTATGGTTGCTCCATATACATAAATAAATAAGTTTAATTGTTGAATCCAAAAGTGCCCGGGAAGTACACCCAAGGAATTAAACAATTTGCTAGAAAGTGATTCGGAGGAGAGAGAGAGGCAGAGTAGTAAGAAACAATAAAAAGAGTGTGTCATATTCATGACATTGACCGTTATTTATATGTCTATGTCCAAATATTACAGACTTATTTATATATAATAAGACAGGGGACCGATTCGATTGATGAG